AGCGGCGTTTTGAACCTGTTTTTTTTTTCCATGTCGGAAAGAAATGCTGTAAAATGGCGATAAATAGACCTGTATACCGCAACTACAAAGGGCCTGAAATCCTTAGAAGGACAGTCGAGTTATTGAGTTTCAGTAATCTGGCGAATATCTATGGCTGGTAAACCCCAAACGTAGCGCCGTCCAAGATAGCTAGTCAAGACTGGCTCATGGGAGGACCTCCGTGGCGGAGTGGTCAAGTCGTTGGCCTAGCTCTCGGAAGGTCGCAGGCTGGTTTCACGGCTGCGCTCTTCAGATCACATGTGCAGTGTTTACGGAGATCCCTGGAGATCGTCACCGGGGTTTTGGAGTCCATGCTCTGTGCGGCGCTTTCGGCAGGCTGCCAGCCGTTCTGCGGACATATACGGGGCCATATGGGATAAAACCCGCTGCAACGAAGTAGATCCTCTCGACTTTAACCTTTTAACCTTTAACCTATTTATCATGGGGGAAATTCGTTTCGTGTACGTCCAAGGGTCAGGAACGAATTAATTACGTAAACCTGTGTACCATTGTATTACATTGTGAGACCCTATTTTCTTTCATGGTTCGACTCTCATACAATTATTCGAAAAACACCACAGCGGTATTTTTCTTTTTAGTAAACAGTCCGCCGTGGAAGTCGAGCCGCACTACTTGAGAATTGTGAAATTGTGAAACGCTATCACTAATCTCTAAGCCTCAAAGCTGTTGATTGAACTTGGTTTGTTTAAAGGGGCAAAGATAAAATAAATACTTTTAAAAATGCACGTGAACTGCATTACATATATATTTTTTTTCCTCTTGGAATTCGCCAGAAGAGCCAGATAAATGAATTGTGTCCAGACACATGTGAAATGGCTTTTGTTAAAAAAAAATAGTTTTACGTGAATAATACATATTTGTTAGGATGGGCAGAGAGAGAGAGACGGGGTGCGTTTAAGAGATACGCAGAGAGGCCGATAGAAATATAGCGAAAGACTGGCAGGCAGGCAGAAAAACTTTTAAAAAAAATTATAGAGGAAGGTTAGAAAGACAGTAGGAGAGCAAGTAGATAGACAGTGTGAGAAAGGGGGAGAGAGAAAGAACAAACGAATAAACTTTGACTTCAAAGGGTTAAGAATTGGGCACGCAGGCTCGTTTAATATTCAGCCCTTCTAATCTCCCTCCTTTTATAGATCATATCTTTAAAAAAATAATATTAATAAGTATTCGTAAACATTATCATCAGCAGCTAAATATTAGATATAATTAAAAAAAGCAGTGGAATGTGTTCGGATTATACTTCCATTTCTAATTAAAACAAGTCATTGTGATTCTACTAAGTCTACGGAAAATATCCGCTATTTCGAAAATACTTATATCTTTCAGAGGGGCGTATAATCTGTGCTCAGATAATATTCGAAAAGATTATGATTGTATGTTTAGAGCTAGCAGTAATTTTGATTTTGTTGTTGAAAATGGTTCCCCCGTTCGGCTGCGGAGTATTCCAGTTTTGCATAGGTCCATCCTAGGTTTCGGGTTATTAAATATTATTTGCCGTTTTCTATGCGAGAGAGATATAGAGTGGGTGGGGAGAGAGAGAGAGAGAGAGAGAGGAGAGAGAGAGAGAGAGAGAGAGAGAAGAAAGGGGTTATGCCTAAACGAAAACATAAAATAATGAAAGGGGCATCGAGTGAAGGAAGGGGGAATAGAGATATACAGACAAATGAGGTAAAAGGTAACGATAAAATGATCAACTTCGTTGCACAAGCTTTGATCCCATATGGCTCAGTCTCTCTCCCCAAAAATGGCTAGCTGCCTACCAAGACCGTCGCACAGAGCACGACCTTCAAAGCTCCGGCGACGATCCCAGGAATATCTGTAAAGACTGCACTCGTGAAATGAACAGCGCCATCGTGAAAGAAACACACAGGACCTTCAGAGCGGTCCTCTCGACTTAACCTTTTTAACTTTTCACCTTCTTTCCACGCATTCAGGCGTGTTGGACGTGGAGGGCTAGACCTATATTTTATAGACCAAACAGCACTTGGCTGGTGATGTGGTCAGCATCACGCCAGCCGCCTTTACTTCCCATGTACCCATCTGGGAGCCATGGTCATTTTTTTTTTTTTTAAAGTCCTGTTAAGTCAGTACTTAAACCCGACATCTTTCGATCAGCAGGGAAGCGTCTAGCCACTACACCACGGCGGCTCTTTTGTACGGTTTTGTAGACTTGGTCAGTATTGGAGCTATTGTCAGTTCTGACCAGGAGGTGAAGGGAGCGATCCGCCATAATACGTAAACGGGTTGATACGCAGGCATCTAGCCACAACTCTAATTCCAAAATTCACACTTTTAGTCTTAAAATGACGTTTTTTATTTCGTAAAGGACCATGTGGTATACCTGTGGACTGGCACCTGAGACAACAGATCAAATCCTTCAAGACTGTCTCAGATAAAAGTTTTCAGGCATAACTTCTTGCCAAGAGAGACACTAGTCGAAGCCAAACTGTAGGGGCCGTTAAGTGAATTACAAACGACAGTGAAGTTCATACAAGAGACAGCAGTGCAGATGTAAATAATTTATTTCAAGCAAACGAAAAAAAAAAAAACAAGAAGAAGATTTAATTAAGGATGGAAATGTATGGCTCTGTTTTTTTTTTTGTTTTGTTTTGTTCGTACCGGCAGCTAAAATGGCGTTAACTCGGACTATGCTGCTGTCGGAAATTGCCGAGCGTTCTCGTCCCTGCAGCTCGCATCTTTATTTAACCTTGAATTCTAGGAGGGGGGTGGGGGCGAATATGGCGTGTCTGACCACGTATCTTAAAAAACTCGTACACTTGTTGTCAGCGACCTAATTTACTATAATCATTCTGTATGGCGCTCGTTATGTAGGCCAGCTAACAGACTTCACTACCCTGGACACACTTAAGACACGCACCTGCTGAGTATAAACATAATCTTTAATGTAAAATGAACAATACAGCTATAGACACCTCAACTAAGTAGGCAGTTCTTATCCGAAACGGTGGCGTTGGGCAGCTTTTACATTCATTGCTCAACCCAATCCGTCCCCATGGATTTTCATGAAACACGACTCCTAACTAACTGTTTATCAGTGCTAACTAAGCCGCCGTCTATTGTCACGCGGAACTCAGCGGCACACGTAAGGTGAATGGCCTAAGCGTGACTAGGCAGTGTTACCGCCATTAACAATGCGTGTCACACCTTCACTAACTGCTCAAACAAATACTGCACGGAATGTCTACTATACAAGGAACATTAACTCTACAGTATCACGTTGAAACATTTAATGGAAACACAACCTAACAAAGATACTACGCACAAATCCTATTTATTCCAGCCAAGAGATGAAAACACTAATACAATCTAGTATCCAAGAAAGGTGGCTGGATACCCACACCAGATTTTCTCCCCAAGACTCACTTCATCGCCTCTCTAGAGAGGGACAGTGTATTATATTCAGACTAAGGACAGGGCACAACAGATTTCGTCAACATATGTTCACATTTTTCGGTGTAGGAAATACGGAGATGTGTCAATGCAGCGTGGCACCCAAAAATTCTGAGCATGTGCTCCAACACTGTCAACTGTATGCTGACAACAGAGACGCAATCTGGCCTGTTCCAACCACACTGAAGACAAAACTGTATGATACACGAGAGAATATGGATTTCACGATAGCTTTCATAAAGGCTACCGGCCTCCTGATATAAGTTTTCTGACAGAAGGATCGAAGAAGAAGAAGACTAAACTACTGTACTTTTACCTAGTCGAAGCGCTACGTCTGGTCCAGTCCAGTGTCACCACACAACTCCCCAGTCCGTTCTGTCCCAGCTCTTTTGTTCCCCTCTGCATTCATGCCTCGACACTCGGTAGTCCGTGTCAACCGTGTGAACTCGGCTTAGCCAGTTAAACTCAACATAGTTTATTCCGGGGTCAAGTTGCCCGGTCCCACACTGAGCTTTATTGAAGGTCAACTCGTTCATACGTGATGATTCACTATCATCACCTCCGTTCATCCCATAGCCGAACTGGCGTCTGACACATGTACACTTGTATCCTGAGGTTAAACTGTACTTGAACAAAAGAACTTCTATGTATGGTTAGGCGGAGACTCTCAGTTCCCGTACACGTTTTCTGAAGGGGGGAATTAAGGACTGAGCCTTTCCCCCTCTCCCCCACAGTTTTTATGAAGGGATAGGTAATTTTTTAAAAAGTAAAGGTCCCTTTTCCACGTTTTAGGCGTATAGGGCATATAGGGCTAGACTTATATTTTATACACCAATCGTCACAAGATGGGTGATGGGGTCAGCATCACACCGGCTGCCTTTACTTCCCTGGACTGCACCCGGTACCCACTCAAGGCTGGGTCGACCTGGGAGTCAAGGATATTTTTGAAAACAAAGTCCGGTTCCGCCTTGGAGCGATCCCATAACCTTCCGATCCGCATGCGAGCGTTTAGTCGCTTTGCCACAGTGACTCCCATTAAGGGGATCAAGTGGCATAAACCTGCTGGCTCACTCATTCATGGTTCCAGAAACTGCACACACGGTGGGATTAAACGTATTATTTACACACAATAGGATTAAAAGTATTATTTACACACAATAGGATGAAAAGTATTACTTACACACACTAGGATTAAAAGTAATATTTACACACAACAGTATTAAAAGTATTATTAACACACAATAGGATGAAAAGTATTATTTACACACAATATGATTAAAAGTATTTATTACACACAATATGATTAAATGTATTGTTCACACACAATATGATTAAAAGTGTTATTTACACACAATAGGATTAAAAGTATTATTTACACACAATGGTAATGATGTCTTCTTCTTTTTCTTCTCATTATTATTATTATTATTTTTATTATCATTATTATTAATATTATCAACGGCTGTAACAAACCACTAAGGACAGTCTCTGTTGTGGGATTATATTATTCTTTGATAATGTTTCCCCAGGGTAAACTTGGTGAACTGTTGCTGTCCCTATGTTATCAGCCGAACATTGGAAGACTCACCGTGACAGTCATGAAAGCCAAAGACTTGAAGGCAAAAGATCTTACAGGATATTCCGGTAACATAGTTTTTATCTGTAGCATTATCTGTTGATTTGTCTATATGACCATTATCTTGCAGGCTACAGCTGATAATTAAATAATTGTAAGTTAATGTATCTATTTGACCATTGCCTTGCAGATTGCAATTTCAATTGCATTTCAATTGTGAGTTAAAGAATCTATGTGACCATTGTATTGCAGACTGCAATTTCAATTGCATTGCAGATTGCAATTCCAACTGCATTTCGATTGTGAGTTAAAGAATCTATTTGACCATTGTATTGCAAATTGCAATTTCAATTGCATTTGAATTCTGAGTTAATGTATCTATTTGACCATTGTCTTGCAGACTGCAATTTTAACTGCATTTCGATTGTAGTTGATAATTATAGAATTGTGTGTTGATGTATCTATATGGCCTTTATCTTGCAGACTGCAGCTGATCATTATAGAATTGTGTGTTGATGTATCTATATGGCCTTTATCTTGCAGACTGCAGCTGATCATTATAGAATTATGTGTTGTGATAACTGTTTTGCTTTTTTTTTTTTTTTTTTTTGTGAAAACAAAATTTGAACAGCAGAGTTGTGTTTAAAGATATGCAGCTCTAAATCCCCAGTCTGTGGCCTACCCTGATCCCCCACCTTCCCCGGTTCTTCGTTGTCCTAAAAATGTAGTAAACACGGGGAGTAAAAAACATACAGATTTATGGAATTATATGTTGATGTAACTGTGTGACATTTGTATTGCAAATTACACCTGTCATCTGTAGAATTATAACTATCTGAGACACGAATCTTGCAGATACCGTTTGTTTTCTGCAGTGTAGCTAAATTTTATTTTAGACATGGTATGACGTAAAGACGACCTGATTATTAGGGTGATAACACTGTTGTGTCTGTTTGTTCTACTTCATCTTGCTGTTGTTGCTGTTGTTGTTGCTGTTGTTGTTGTTGTTGTTGTTGTTGTTGTTGTTGTTGTTGTTGTTGTTGTTGTTGTTGTTGTTGTTGTTGTTGTTGTTGTTGTTGTTGTTGTTGTGTTGTTGTTGTTGTTGTTGTTCTTCTTCTTCTTCTTCTTCTTCTTCTTCTTCTTCTTCTTCTTCTTCTTCTTCTTTTTCTTCTTCTTCTACTTCTTTTTCTACTTCTTCTTCTTCTTCTTCTTCTTCTTCTTCTTCTTCTTCTTCTTCTTCTTCTAATTCTTCTTCTTCTCCATTGTCATCCTCGTCTTCTTCTTCCAATCTTTTTCTTTTCTTTGTCTTCTTCTTCTCCTTCTCCTCCTTCTACTAACACTTACGAATATCCCACTTGTCTTTCCTTCTCCTCCTTCAATAACAAAACGTGTATGTTATCAAATGAGAGATACATATTTTATTGATAATCATATATAGGTCTCATACATCATTTTTATTGAAATCTTTCTTTCACAGATCCCTACGTCAAAATATGGCTGTCTTATGGAGGAGCCCGGGTTGAGAAAAAGAAAACAAATATCAAGATGAGAACGCTTAATCCAATCTACAACGAGTCATTCATTTTCGACATTCCTTGGGAGAAAATACGAGAGGCTACGTTAGATATCAGCGTCATGGATTTCGACAAGGTCGGACGCAATGAGTTGATTGGTCGAGTGGTGCTCGGCTGCCGGAGTGGTCCAATGGAGACACGTCACTGGAACGACATGGTGTCCAAACCGAGACAGCAAGTGGCTCAGTGGCATTTGTTGAAAGATTAATAATTTGTTAATATTTGTTAATGGTTATGTTCCTGGCATTCATGATTTGTTGATACTTTCTTTGTTGGGAAAACAATTTAGCAGTGTTCACATTCATTTTTTTTTTTTTTTTAAAATATTTTACATGCTCACTTGTTTTGTTTTTAGTAACTCTTAATAGACGTGACTATTCGCTTGTTTTTTGTTTTGTTTTGTAACAAATTTTTTTTTTTTTTTTTTTGGGGGGGGGAGGGGGAGGAGAACTAAAATGCTGTAAGGAAAGAGTTGTATTCGAGAAGCTGTCGTGGTATAGCGGCTAGATTCACGCCTGCGGGTTCGAAGGTCGTGGGTTTAGATCCTGGTGGAGCCGCACTTTTGTTTTTAAATGACCTTGTCTCTCAAGTCGACCCAGTCATAAATGGGTACCACATAACCTCCTGGAACGTAAAGGCGGCCGGTGTGATGTTGACCACATCATTTCCCCTGAGTGTCGGCTCGACTATACAATATAGTCTATATGTACAACACTTCTGAAGGCGACTAAATGGGTCCTTTACTTTTTATAGTTAAATTCAAATTTTTAAGTATTGCTCTCAACAAAGAGGTTTGAACAACCGATCAACATCATGGCACACGGTTAATAACCCAAAAGTGCTCCGTTCGTCTTCTAATACAAGGTAGCACCGGCGATGATCCTGAAATACTTTGGGTGGATTTTTAACTATAAACTTTGCACTGGCAGCGTTGTTGGGCCACTCTTTTCGATTTTCAGCCAAGGGATTTTTTAAGTGTGCAACACGGGCGTTCGTTCTCACCACCCAGAGACCAGGGGGAATTACTAGAAATCCAAGTCCACGTGAAAAAAATCCCAGCATGTAACGGGGATTGAACCCGGAACCTCTAGCACGCGAGGCGAACACCATACCTCAAGACCACACACCCCCCTAACAAATTATCAAAATGTACTACAGTTATCATTATTTAATGCAAGACAATGCTAGCCATGACTGCTAAAATCTCTCAATTTTGACCTGAACGATCAAGCCAGTTGGTTCAAAGTCTTCTTATATCCTTTCTAAGCCTACACTCCTGGCCACTGCCAACTTGTCACTGATGTATCTTGTTCTGGGTAAGGCCATTCTCACACGCACCAGCAAAACCGGCGCGGTTGACGGAGACGGTTCTGGTGTCGTTCAGTCCCTGTTTTTACACACACCGGCAAATCCGAAGCCATTGCCGTTGTTTCTTCTCACACACGCCAGATTTTGGTCGTTGCCGTCGTTTTTTTAGTGCAGTCGATGTGTAGAAAGATGTGTGGTGCACTCAGCAGACGTGACCGTATAAGACTTCTGTATCTTAGATTTACTGGATGTTGGGTGCTCAAGCCCAGTGAACACCCCCCCCCCCTCCCAACCCAACCCAACAATTTTGTAAGGGACTTATATGGCGGGCACCTTTAAACGTTTGTGAACATTTTCTTTCAAGTTATTTCTTTAAGCATTTCGTTTTATTTGAAATATAGTAGTGTATATTTGCCATTCAGCACAATAATAATAACAATAATAATAATAATAATAATAATAATAATAATAGTGTCTTCAATTACAAAAAAAAATTAAAGAAGATGCTTGAAACGTAGGTGTTAAAACATCCGGTGCCGACAAATACCGAAGCGTCCTTTGAAGTCGATTGTTAATAGTACGTATGTATGTGTTTGTGCGTGCGTGCGCGTGTGTGTGTGTGAGTGTGTGTGTATTTGTTTTTTTTTATTGTCCTTCTCTTTTTTTTTTTTTTTTTTTTTAATATATTTTTAAAGTTGGGTTGTGCCATATATTCAAGGGGGCGCCATCTGAAAAGGGTTGAAAGCCCCTGCTGTAATTACGCACCCGCCTATATTAGACAGACAGTAACTTCATAACCAAAAGCTGCCCTAATGTAAGTGTAGAATACGACTGTACGGGATTTCTGGGACTGGCTTCTGATACATGGCTTTTTGAGTCACTGGTTGTGTCTTTCAAGCTACAATACAGAAGAAAAAAAAAACATTTGGGAAATATACATTGTAAATGTTTAACCAAAACGAATCAAACTCCAGTATTTGTTTCAACTTTTGGAGTCCTTGTTACTGAATACATCTTCTTTCCCTTCGTGTCCACCAGCTGTAAAATATGGCGGAAAGTTGTGGTTGTTCGTCCACCTCTGGACATTAGTCTTGTTCCAGGACCTGAGTGTTGCGTGCACATCCATTTTACAGATCTGACTTACTTGTATGTAGATTGTTGGTTTCTTGCATCTCAGGCATATGCACTCTGACTTCAAAGGAAGTCCCCTATTAGTCGACTCTTACGACATGCTTGTTGTGGAGGTATAAGGTCTATTCTTGTTTTTGCCCACAATGGGGTCCCCGAACCCACACGGGGACTGAATACATGGAAATGGAAACATTGAAAATGGTTCTCTCATTCTTGGAAAGTTCAGTTCACATGTTAAAATAATTTCAAAAACTGGAGAGGAATTTGTTGACTGTTACATTTATTGTTTTTTCATAACTGAATTCTGTCAGACTTTTATTTAAATGCTGTTTTACAAAAGTCATATTGTTTTACTGCCAACAGTTGATAACCTAATGTTTTACAATAGTTACCTTGCTAATTTGTTTTTTTTTTTAATATGTGATTTAATTATGCATTTAAACACTTGCAATGTCCCGCTCGCTAGTGTAGTTGGCTAAACTTATCTTCGCGGCGACCGGGTGACGAACTCCTTGTGGTCTGGGTTCACGCCCGGGGGTAGGCAGAAAAGCCACATTTATCCCTGATATACGGTATTTATCATGGAATCAATGCCGAAAGGTTACGATATCCATAGTACTGAGCCAAAGGGTTTACAACTCATGGTTTCTGGATACACTTTCAGTCTAAGAAAAGTTCTGTACAAGATATTCCATGAAAAATTACACTAGGAAAAATCACAAGTGCGGGACTTTTAAAAAGGCTTAGTACACATGTGTAACCAGTCGAAGGATCACTGAGAAAGCCAGATTTTCTTAGTAAGTCCCGACCGAATGAGGAAAGTAACAGAACACTTTGTACGCTGGTTGGGACTGAGGCAGAAAAGTGAATCACACGAATTCTTGAAATGCTTTCTTTATCTGGCTTGCTGTCATCCGCATAATGCCTGTGATAATTTGCTTTCATGTTTGCTTTCACAAAAATAGACTGGCTCATATACGTTATTGTGTACGCCACTTATGTGCATAAACTGTTCTTGTTCCAATTGTACCTGGTAGATCAGCCGTACTGGTTGGCATGACACTTGATGATAATGATGATATCTTTAAAATTAACATCGTGAATGTATGCTTCAGTATGTTTTTGCCACTGTACATATAGTGATTAATCCTTATTGCCTTTGTTCCAGACTGTTGTTAAATTAACTAATTCAAAACCAGGGAACTCAGTGTCCATTTCTTGGTTTTTCACTCACATTCTATGTTGTTCTTAACTCATTGTCTTCTGTTCAGCTGTTATTTTAACTAGCTCTGTGTAAACTGGTATTAAAACTAACTTCTTATAGTCAGGGCAGTTTTATAAGCATGTACAACATGTGCAGCTGCATAGTGTTGCGAACTTTTGAAGGCGGCAAACAATGACCTGTAGTAAAAAATAAATGTATTGCTTTTATCATTATGGGATTCATTATGGCCACCATTTGGATGAGGATCACCCTGGGAGAGATCTCAGAAACCCCATTCAACCCATAGGTTGGGTAATTTTAGGGCTCCCGGCAACAGCCAGGGTGACTTAAAACAACCATAACATATGTCCTACACTGAGTCGCAGTAAGTCGTACGTATGACTTCTATAGCCTAAGTGGAAACCACAATGTTTTGTTTCATGACGTATAACAAAATGCCCTGGAATGTATATGTACATATATATGTATACTTTAGCAATCACATATGAGCCGCATATTTTTTTTTTTCTATATTGTTGGCGTTAACATATAAAGAAGCTTATACTCAGTGAAACTTGCATGCCACATAACCGTTGTCAGCTGATGTCTGGCTATGTCCGAGTGATAGTTATGCCCCTTGGGGTGAAATTGAACAGCAAAGAGATGGGGGAGGGTGGGGGATTGAAGCCTGTGACTGACTCGATAGACATATTTTCTCACTTGCTGTTCATTTTATTAGTTTAGTGTCTAGATAAGTATTAAAAGTTGTAAAAAAAATACATATCATAAATACAAATTTAACTCACATGGTATGTGTGTAACATACAATTAATAAATCAAGAGGTGTGGAGTGAAATTACATTGTGTTCTACCGTAAAATGTAGACCGGTGGCTCTCAAACTTTCTAATGCTGCGACCCTCATGTTGTGGCGAGCCTCAAATAATTGTCTTTGTTCATAACTTCAATGAATATGTGTTGTTTCATGGTCTTATGCGACCTTTGTGAAAAGATCGTGCGACCCAAAAAGGTCGCGACCCGTAGGTTGAGAACCGCTGCTGTAGAAGCTTTAAAAAGTAATTTGGGTGGGGTGGGGTGCTGGGGGGCAGAAATCATTTCCAAATGGTTACATGCTAATTTCAGGAGCGGCTGACCGAGCCGGTGTAAATTCAATCTTTCAAGCGAGAAACCCGAGTTCGACCGTTAAGGTGAGGAGTTTTTCTGTCGAGGGCAAAAATAAATCACCTAACTGTCATAGTTCGTGGTGGCAGTATTAGGTAATAAAACTAGGAAGTCAGACTCACCACCCCCCCCCCCCTTTCCCCAGCCTTCTTTACAATGCCATAAAAAAGCGGTAAAAACAGACAGCAGTGACGTACACAGTTAGGAGAAGCATCATGGCAGAAGAGGAAAAAAGTTTGCGACAGCTAACATTATCCTTTGACCACATAGAGAAGCTGAAACCCATCCCAGTTGAAGCCATGCAAGTCATTTCGGGATGTACACGGGATATATCTAAAGTGTGCATGTGACACCTGCTTTTATTCTCTTCCGTATGTATGAAAAG